GGGGGGGGGGGGGGACATTTCCCTTAGGATTTGGTATATTTGATAATTGAAGTGCCTTGTACGTGAGGTGACGAGTGTGTACTTGAGCTAATTGTTAAAAATCCGATTTTTTGAAGTAATTTTAATTGTGTTCATTTTTCCTATCTTATACTACTTGCAATTTAAGCATGTTGTTAGCCTACAAAAGCATGTTTAATTGACTTAATTGCTTACTTGTTTAACCTGCCTTAATTGTATTACGTGAAGCATGTTAGGCTAGAATTACCTGTTTACTTGGCACGAAATTGAGCTTAAATGAGCATTCTTTGTGTTGTTGCTACGTGGTTTACTTTGGGACTATGAGACGGCATCCCGGGAGATCCCCTGCACGTATTTATGATTTGAGCTGAGGTGCGGGATACTGAGAGATCCCTAGCACGTATATTGAGGATACCAAGAGATCTCTAGCATATATTGAGGATACTGAAAGATCCTCGGGATACCAAGAGATCCCTAGCATATATTGAAGATACCGAGAGATCCTCGAGATACCAAGAGACCCTGGCATATATTAAGGGTACTAAGAGATCCACGGAATATTGAGAGATCCCCGGTTAATTCCTTGTGATTATTTTTGCCTTTGTTTCAGTTATTGAATTCCTTGTTTTCCTGTATTAAATTCTTATTGTTAGCTTACAACTATACTGCTTATCTTATACTGTCATACCTTATATTTTTATTTTATCTCAGTAGGGCCCTGACCTTCATCGTCACTATCCTACCGAGGTTAGGCTTGGCACTTACTGAGTACCGTTGTGGTGTACTCATGCCCTTTCTGCGCATGTTTTTCATGTTACTTCGGCTCAGACTTACCATCCTTGAGGCGAGGCAACCCTTCGGAGACTTCGAGGTATATATGCCGCATCCGCAGACCGAGGAGTCTCTCTCCATCCTCTCTTATAGTTACAGTCCTTCTGTATTTACTTTGTTTTAGACTATTCTGAAGTTAGAGCACTATGTAGTATCCTTAGCTTGTGATTCATGGGTTTCCGGGTTTTGGGAAAATGTATTAGTTTCAAGAATTTATATTGTGTATGCCGAGCGGCACTTTTAAACGCTATTATATCACTCTATTTCTCTTTTAAATTATTTTTATTCCGCAAATTGGTTTATCTTCCGCAAATTTAGGCTTACCTAGTCGTAGAGACTAGGTGCCGTCGCGATGGTTCACGGAGGGCGAACCGAGGTCGTGACATAAGTCATGCTAAAATAAGTAGACTAAAAGAGGGAATATTAATTACATGATTAAACGCTAAAGAAAAAATAAAAATAGGTTATGCATTTTTATCTAAATTATTGCAAAACAAAAACTAGATATTCAATACATTGTCGTTCGTAATATTGAATTGAATGTCTTTTGTTAGCATTAGTATTTATTTGATTTTGGTTTGGGCTTTTGTTAGCATTATTTAAGTTACTAATATTAATGGCTATAAAACTCATTGGAACATTCAAAAGTTCTAAGTACAACCTTGAAATAATACCTTAAAAGATAAAATTATGAAAAAGTTTAAAAAATATTTATAAATTACATCACAATAAGTATATTTATATGTTAAATATATCTAAAATTTCTATATATGTAATGTCAGGTTGGTTTGGTTTCGGTTTAACTTTCTTTAGTTAAAACCAAACCAAACCAATTATGGTCGGGTTTTTTTTCCAATATCAAACCAAATCATAATCGAATTTTTTTTCTCGGTTTGACTTGGATTATCGGATTGGTGCAGTTTGTCGGTTTCCTTTGTACACCTCTCGGTGGCACTAAGGCAAAAGCATAACAAGTGACACCACCCATAGGCCATAGATTAGCAGTTACACTTGGCGCAGTTAGAGGAATTAGTAGATAATCTATCATTTATAGGTCATTAAGTCGAGGCTCTATATAGGGGCTGTGGAGCAATTTATACTAATGCATGTCTTAAACGGGAGGATTAAGCTAATAGCAGGTAATCTCATTGCGTTCGCCAAAGCACTAAAAAAAAAATTCTAATGTTCATCTAGTGTTCGATTGAAGCTTTGGGTTAATCAAATTACGGTTTGAGGTAAATGGATTTTTTTTTCAATTTCAGTTGTCCGTGCATAAATTGCAGTAAGCATTCTTTTCCATTTCAGATGATTCTTCTATGGGGAATTTATTGTTGCTTATGACTTTTAGTCATTTGAATCTAAAATGTTAAATGCTTGAGATTTTTTTTTCGCAGTTTCTGTAATTATTTTTTCTGTATAAGCTATAATTGTTATTATTACGATTCTAATACAATAATTCTTATTCGTTTTATAACATTAAGATTTTTTTAAACAAGTAATCTGATTGCTAGCTCCACTATATAACATAAGAAACAACTAGCTAGATGATGAAAAGAAGAACTGTAGTTAGTACTTGCCCTTTAATTATTGACAGTTACAGTATAATTAGTTGAATAAAGTATTATTTAGTTATTAGAAATTCCACTAGTATAATAGTAAATTTAAGATATTTTTGACATTTGGGACATAATTAATTTAAGCAAGAAATTAGCACAAAGAGCTTTATTAAGCTGTTATTCTGTGACATATATATTTATACATTTAAACTTTATATTATATAAATATTTTTTTGAATATTAGATTAGATTAAAGTAAATTGTGATAAATAGGTTTTGTGAAATATATATTACTTTCGAAGGAAGGACCGAAGGAGCGATAAGATATAAATCGAACGGTGTCTGCCTTATTGTTTAATATAGAAGAACGCAATCAACGAAAAAGGGGAAACTGGAAACAAATTATTTTTCATTATTGGTTCTAAAAGAAATCAAACATAAACTGAGAAACCAAATATATATATTGGGTTATTTATCTTTAGAATACTGGTTACAGAAGAAATAGGACCACTGGAAGAATTTTTCCGTTTGTACATTATTTGCAGCATAAAATGAGTAGGAGCAAAATTACAAATATGTCAAAGGATAGAAATACATCAGTTTCCTTTTCTATTGTACTTTCTTTAGTACAAAGCAAACAACTAATCCATTTTAATTCAATCAAACCCAGTTTGGTGGAACTACGAGCTTGAATCCATGCATATGTACGCACTACATCTTCATGTATATTGACTGAAGTTTATATGTATTCGCCTGAAGGTGACACTTCAGTATTTTTACCGTATGTTTACATCAAATGGATATCAATTTATTATGGTAAAATGATTTGATGAAGTGAGAAAATATAACAATTAATTATAATTAAGTAAAATAAGTTTATATATAAATATGTTTACCTCGAAAATACGAGTAGCAATTAAATTCGATTTGTAATTTTAAAGATATGTGATTTAGTTCAATACCATTTAATAATCAAAAAAATATGAAGTATAGATGGAAATAAGTAAGACCAAACCAGTAAAGAAGGCAGTATCGACCTCGAGCCAAAGTGACCTCGAGATTGGTCAAGAACAATAAATCAAGAATAATAAAGCTAAAGGACAATTCTGATGAACAATGAGCGAGAAAGTAAGAAAGTGTATTATTTTCCAATCATTAGATGTCATTTACAAATGATTGGGGTCCCTTTTATATAATAGGGGAACCCTAAAATAAGATACATTTCTATTTACAGTAAGAAATCCTATTGGGGACAATTGTATAACCGCCTAGTACAGATTTGTACTAATTTGTATAAATCTATTCTGGAATTTACGTCATGATCTTGGGGACGTGGCGGGAATCTTGTCCTTCTGTAACAAACTCATAACGGCATTGTTTCGAAGTCGGTCATACCTGGCTCCGATATTCCTCGAGCACTTAGGTCTTCGAGCCTTTTATTCTACCTTCGAGCCCTAGCCTGGTCTATATTGAACTTTTGTCCTCGATGTGACTTCTCGAGCCTACAAAATCGGAGGCATATGATTTTGACCGTATATATCGGGCTTGCTCCTAGTCTATTTTGATCTCTCTCTTGAAGTGACCCTCGAGCCCACGAAATCGGGTAGCCCCGATTTCTACCGTATACAGATAGTACCCGCGTTTCTTAGAGTATAACAACAAGAAACAAATTGAGTCCTTGATCTTTATCCCGATTTGCCACGACATCATCATCGTGACATAAGCGACTGAGGAAACGAGAGCTTGGAAGTTGGCCTTTCTCGAGGAAAACTCCGAGAACTTTTAGCAAGTCCAGTAGTGGGGAAAGTTCTAAGGGCGAAGACACTTCTGCCGATAAGGACCGTGCCGCTTGGGTTTCGTGCTCTTAGTAATTTTTTGCTTTTGAGGCTGATCGGCCCTTACGAGGAACTCTTGATCGTGACCTATAGCTCTTGTAAAAAGGTTTATACAAAGCCTTTTTCCTTCCATGGCTTCTGAATCTGTTACCCTTTTGTGCGGGTCAAAGCGCCTTATCATAAAATTCCTTTTAAATGTCCAAAGTTTGAGATGGTAATGACCGATAATAAGTTCTGCCCTCTAATGTTTCTGATCAATGGTCCCTGAATGACCATTCAAACTTAAGTTTGAGTAGCTCTTAGGCTCAACAGTCAATGAGGTAAGGTAGCCCTTGGGCTTGATAGTTGAGTGAGTGAACGCTTGAACTTAAAATGAAAATAGCCTTTAGGCCTTATGGCCAAGTGAGGACATGCTCGAACTTGAGATGAGGCGGCCCTTGGCTCGAAAGATAGTCCCCGAGTGAGAGTTTTCTCGGACTCGGATAGCCTTTGAGCTTAGTAGTCAAGTGAGTACTTGCACGAACTAGAAATGAAGTTAGCCCATAGGTTTCATGGATAGTCCCCGAATGAGGGTTTGCTCGAACTCGGGTTAAGATAGCCCTTGGGCTTTTATGATCGAGTGAGGACTTGCTCGAACTCGAAATAGAGTTAGCCCTTAGGCTTTATAGTCGAGTGAGGATTTGCTCGAACTCGAAGTAAATTTGGCCCTTAGGTTTTTTTATATTGGCCCTTAGGCTCTTTTAGATCGGCGCTTAAGCTCTTTAAGTTGGGTCAATTCGGCCTCTAAGACGGCTATAATTTTCCTCTTTTTCGGCTAAAAGACTTAGTGAAAATTTCTTTATTTCTTAACATGTGTTTTTTGTACCCGTTGGGTTTTTCAAAGGTTCAATCGAACAGAACCCGTTTGTGTTAATACCTCTTGAGGCTTTTTCGAAGGCTGATGTTATCGAAGCCTTTTTTGCTTTTGCCGAGGGTAGCCGAGTTTAACCGGTTTTTTGAAGTACTCGAAGGCCTTTAATTTATGACGGAAGTCGGACGTCTCTAAGCCGCATTATTTTGGTCGTAGCCTTTTACATGACCGTAATCTTTAATATGACCGTAGTCTTTAATATGGTTGTAGCCTTTAATATGGTCGTAGCCTGTAACATGACCATAGTCTTTAATATGGCCGTAGCATTTAATATGGTCGTAGCCTTTAATATGGTCGTAGCATTTAATATGGTCGTAGCCTTTAATATAGTCGTAGACTTCGGGTATGTCTCTTGGACTTGTTTCCCGATAACCTTTCGAACTTGTCCGAAAGGTTAGTCCCTGAGTATGATGTCCTTGGCCTTTGCGTCGAGGGATGCCTCTTTTAGGTCTTATAAATTCGAGTTCAGATAGTCGAATGTGTTGGTTGTCGATGACAGTTCCCGCGTATTCGAGGTGTATTTGCGTTTTGGCCCTTGAGTCATTTCTCGTGGAATCACAAGTATGATGTTCGTATAGTAGTAAGTTTCTTTGATACACAAAGTGTTTTGATATAGAAAGAATACTTCTTTGGATAATTGATACATGCGTACATGTTTCACCATTGGGGCTCGACTATTCTATAGGGACACGGTTCATCCGACCGTTTGGCCCATTACAAAGTTCTCCTATCGAGACCCGATGTACTGAAGTGATTTCCTTGAAACAAAGTAGACATTCGAGGGCAATGCCCTTTAGTACTCGAGGCTTATTGTAGGGAACCTCGGATACAGTTGAATTGCTCTAAGTTAACACGACAATGGTTGCCTAGTTAAAAACCTCGCCGGAAAAACCCATTTAGGACAAAAATCGATCTAAGGGAAAAAGAGTGCAACGCCTGCTTTAAGGTCCAAAGCTTCATGCCGATCCTTGTCGAAAACCTGCAAGTGTTAGTCGAAAAAATAGAAAGGATTGGATTGGGGTCGTACTTTTATTCAGATGTTGGATATTTAACGTGATCTTCCTCGGCATCAAGCCCCCCTGAATTTTGACCTCGATCATTTCTCCTCTTATTTCATGCAAAGCATTGCCCAGACTCACTGCTTCTACGGTCTGCGTTATACGGTTGATATCGATCTCTATTGAACCTAGGCTCTCTATCGATGTCCATTTTGGTCTTACCCATGGGCCTGCTAGGATAAACAGACCCGAATGAGTCCCTAGTTGATCATCCTCGACTCTAATCTTCGACTGGTACCGATTATGTACGTCGGCCCAAGTGACAGCCGGGTATTTGAGTAAACTTTGCTTCAACTAATGTGAAGCTATAGAACTCCGAGTGTTGAGACCTTGAGTGAAAGCTTGAATAGCCTAGTCATCGGTGACCGGAGGCAAATCCATTCTCTCTACTTGGAACCGAGATACGAATTCCCTGAGCATCTCGTTATCGTTCTATCTTACCTTGAAAAGGTCTGACTTTCTCGTTGCAATTTTAATGGCTCCGGCGTGTGTTTTTACAAAAGAATCTACAAGCATGGCAAACGAATCAATAGAATTAAGGGGTAAGTTATGATACCGTATCAAGGAACTCTTGGATAGAGTCTCCCCGAACTTCTTCAGTAGTACGGATTCGATTTCATCATCTTCCAAGTCGTTTCCTTTGATGGTGCACATATATGAGGTGACATGTTCATTCGGATCGGTCGTCCCGTTATACTTGGGAATCTCGGGCATACGAAACTTCTTGGGGATTGGCTTCAGATCCGTACTAGGGGAATGGTCTTTGCACGAACTTTTTAGAATCTAGTCCTTCTAAGATTGGGGGTGCCCCCGGTATTTGATAAACACGGGAGTTATAAGTCTCTATTATTTTGTCATTATCCTCAATCTTCTTGTCCCTCGACTCGATTCTCTTGGTGAGTTCCTCGAGCATCCTCATAATCATGGGGTCAGTTCCCGAGCCATTACCGTTTGGTCTCTCTGACACCGGCTCAGTACGTCGAGTGTCCCCTGGTTCGACCACACTTGGAATTTTATCCTGACTTTGAAGTTAAGTGATGGCAATCTGTTGAGCTTGTAGCATCTCGAATATTACTTGTAGCTTGATTCCCCCATCTCTTATACCCTGTGTTCCTTGGCCCCTAGATTGGGCTTCCCTGCGTACACTTCCTCCGAGGTCTGCACCTAGATCCGCATTCAAAGCAATGTGTGAACTAACATCGACTGGTTCCACATTTGGCACTTTCTCAAGGTTTATCGGTGGTACACATGCCCATACATTGTTGTTTTCCCCATGAAATCCAAGGCCATTGTTGTCGTGTACAGGTGTGTTTTGCGAGTTTGACATGTTTTTATCTGAGAACAAAAATTCTTGACAAGAATAAGTGTAAAAATAACGTGTGTTATGAGAATCAGTACTGAAATAATCACTATTATCTTTAGCCCCACGATGGGCGCCAAACTGTTTACCTCGAAAATACGAGTAACAATTAAATTTGATTTGTGGTTTTAAAGATATGTGATTTAGTTCAATACCAATTAATAATCAAGAAATATGAAGTATAGATGAAGGAAATAAGTAAGACCAAACCAGTAGAGAAGGCAGTATCGACCTCGAGTCAAAGTGACCTCGAGATTGGTCAAGAACAATAAATCAAGAATAATAAAGCTAAAGGACAATTCTGATGAACAATGAGCGAAAAAGTAAGAGAGTGTATTCTTTTCCAATCATTAGATGTCATTTACAAATGATTGGGGTCCCTTTTATATAATAGGGGAACCCTAAAATGGGGTACATTTCTATTTACAATAAGAAAATTGGGGACAGCTGTATAACCGCCTAGTACGGATTTGTACTAATTTGTACAAATCTATTCCGGAATTTACGCTATGATTTTGGGGACGTGGCGGGAATCTTGTCCTTCTGTAACAAACTCATAACAACACTGTTTCAGAGTCAGTCATACCTGGTTCCGATGTTCCTCGAGCACTTAGGTCTTCGAGCCTCTTATTCTACCTTCGAGCCCGAGCCTGGTCTATATCGAATTTTTGTCCTTGATGCGACTTCTCGAGCCTACAAATCGGAGGCATATGATTTTGACCGTATACATCGGGCTTGCTCCTAATCTATTTCGATCTCGCTCTTGAAGTGACCCTCGAGCCCACGAAATCGGGTAACCACGATTTCTACTGTATACAGACATATTATGCTTCTATTTGTTTTGATGTTAGAATCCAATGTGCATAACGAAAGAGATATCTTCCATCGGCGCAAATACTATGATGAACAAATCGTCTAAAAATAGAAACCAGCCAAATCCTGGAGAGTAAGCTTACGTCCCCGATTCGTATATGCTGTTTGTTAGGGACTAACAAATGTCACTTGGTTACAAAGGATTTGAGTTCTAATAATATAAAGATTCTATGTATATTTTATCAGTTACCAATTTATACTTATCACAAATTATTTATAATAATATTATAAATATCTTACTCCTTTCGATCCATTTTAATTGATTTTTTGGCATTTTTCTTGTAGTCCATAATATTTGATTTTTTAGATTTCAAGAAGAAATTAATTTCTTATTTCAAAGTTGTCCTTAGAGTAAAGAGCTTAGGAGTATTTATTATATTTTCAACGAACAAATTAAGATTGATATTGCATGCAGTTGCCCCCCCCCCCATAACCATTAGCCATAAGACATTAATTACGTTTGGTGTTTAGAATTGTGTCTCATTTGTGAATATAACTTCTACCAGAATTCTGTTTCACATCTTTGCTGTCTATCTGCATAAAAGAAACGTATCCAACACTGGTTGGGAGTACAAACTGGACACATGCAATGGTAAAAGTAGAGAACGTAAAGGACTCTTTATTGGAGTGTTAACTGTTATTCCTATTATTATTGATATTGATATTGATTTGGAAAGGCAATAGGAATTAAAATTGGTTAATTTGGCTTGCACTGCACGTGGCCACGAACAAAATGCATGTAATATACCGCAAAAATCAGTTCCGAGATTTTCCCTATCAATTCTCATTTATCCACCAAGGAGAAAGAGAGAGAACCAATTAAAACGTGGTTAATTAAACTGAATCGTATGTATATAGGATTCTCACACAAAGAGCCAACTCGACATTCAAGTCGTTGCTGGGATCCAGGAGATCACTCTCCTTTGCTGATTTTATTTCTTCACTTTCGTATTTAAATCTTCCTTAATTTCCACATATCAAGAAGAAACATGAGGAGCAAAAAAAGAGACCATACCAAAGATTGTGAGTTTTTTCTCTCTTTCTTTGTATATGTACACGCAGATTTTGTCAACAAGAAAGAAGAGAAGGAATAAAGAGAATTAATGAAGGAGATGAAGATGGAGGAGATAAAGAAAAAGTTGAAGAGATCAAATGTATTGATAGGAATGTTAACAGTTCAAGCAATAGCAACTGGATTACAACTTCTTTCAAAGGTGATATTAAGTAAAGGGACCTTTGTTTTCGCACTCATGGCTTACCGTCATGTCGTCGCCACTCTATGTATCGCACCTTTTGCTTTTATTTGGGAAAGGTTATCTTTATCTTCCTTTTTCTTTTCCTCTTTCAAATTAATGAGTTTCAGTACAGTTAATGTCATTTTCTTTAATATATGTATCTTTTTTCTGATTACGTTTTTTTTTTTTTTTTGGTGTTTGTTATTTTGTAGAGATAGCTTGAAGAAAGTGACATGGTCCGTTTTTTTCTGGCTTTTCATGATCGCATTAACCGGGTAAGTTTTGTTTGTTTCAAAAAAAAAAAATCTCGTTTCAAGATTTTTAGTGTAAGGCTTAACAAACCATGCATGGGAACTTGAGCCTTTTTTATGATGGCAAAATGACAAATGGGTCGTTCTATTTCTTGCCACCTTTCATGACAATAGTTTTTTTTCTGAATTTCTTTTCTATATTATGTACTAATAGAGTGAGGGCATGTACGAGAAGGCAATGACGAAGTGTTAATACTACTCAATTCAATAGTTCTAAGAAAGCGGATTTGCTCATATAATCCTTTAACACTAGATCATTCTTTGTCGATTTGCGCTTAGAGTACTTATGAAACATGCATTAAGATGTAGTCCTCTGTCGATTAGTTCTATGGACATTCATGTTTTATATCAAATCAACAAGTTTCTTGTGAATTAGTTTGGTTGATTTTCTGAAATATGTAGTATTATATATTTCTGAATTTGACCACCTATATGTTATTTCTATGACAACAAGTATGTTTCAGATCACCATGTTAGTTAGGGTCGTTTGTATGAATCCTCAATATCAATGCACATTTTTTTTAGCTCTATAATTTCTTTTTCAAGTTTTTTTTTTTGGTGAAATTTTTTTTATTAATCTCCACGAACAAGTACAGTATTCTCAGCTTCGTACAATCTGCCTCTCCTAAATGTTACCTTCTAAATTCTTATTCTATTCTTCATGCGTATATAACTTTACAACTGTTTCAAGTATCTATATTATGTAAACTATGAACACTCTCTAAGTTAAGCTAAGTTTGTTGCTCAGTCACTCCCTTTCTTTATTGCCCTGCTTTATGTTGATGAATATGTTTCTACGCATTTTGCACTCTTGTTGTATCTGTTCCATCACGACTTCAGGTCGTGGTATTTGGATTCCCAGTACGCCAGGTTCCTTGCTTTCCAGATGTGATAGACCACTGCTGCCATAGTTGCAATAACAAAAGCCCTGCAGTTTCTACCTTTGGTGGTCCTTGCTAATATCCTCCATATCTCATTTATGTCCATCTGTTGCACTCCACTTCCTGTCCAGTTAAGTATACCTTGTAGGCACCTTTGGGAGAATGCACATTCAAAGTACAAATGTTCTATGGTCTCTGTGTTAGCACCACACATTACACATTTATCATCTTGACTTATTCCTAGTCTGTATAGCCTCTCTTTTGTGAGTAATCTTTTATGCAACACCAACCAGCAGATGAAACTATGTTTTGCCATATTTCCTCTGCTCCATACTCATCTCCACCAAGGCCAGTCCTCCTGCTCTCTCATTCTCCATTTGTAGCCAGCATTCACTGTGTATTTACCTTGAGTTATTAGCCAGTCATTTATCACAAAACCTGTTGCAAATGTATCTCTTATATTGCAGACCTTTTTCCAGTACCAACAGCAATCCAGTGGGGGATATATTGCCACCAACTAGTACCCTTTAAGTAGATATTATTGATCCATTTGACCCACAAGTTATCAGCTTTTTTAGCAATGTTCCAAACGTATTTTGCTATTGCAGCTTCATTTCACTTCTGGCACTCTGTGATTCTCAGTCCTCCTTCTCTCTTTGGCCTGCATACCAGGTCTCAGGCCACAAGAGGGGTTCTATTTGTGACCACTTTATCATCCCATAGAAAATTTCTACATATTGCAAAGATTCCTTTGAGCACTAACTTTGGTAAGATGAAAATGGAAGCCCAGTAGCTATGTATATGAAGTAGAACTGAATTAATGAGCATCACTCTCCCGGCATAGGAGAGATGTCTGGTACCCCAGCTCATTGCTCGTGCTGTTAGTCTCTCATTCAAAACTTCACAATCCATTTTTGATAGTTTTCGAGCAGATATTAGTACTCCAAGGTATCTAAAAGGTAGGGTGCTTTTTGCATAGCCAGTCATAGTAAGTTTTCCTCATATTGGGGTTGCATGCTCACACTGAATATGTTTGACTTTGCTGCATTTGTATATAATTCTGAAGTATTGGAAAATATCTTCAATCCTCTCAGTATAAGGAGGACAGACTGGAAGTCTCCCCTGCTAAATAACAAGACATCATCTGCAAAACATAGATGATGCAGCCTAAGACTTTTACATTTTGCATGAAACCCAAATTCTTGATGATTTTCCACCTAGTCCATTATTATTGTAAAGTATTCCATGCATATGACAAATAGAAGAGGAGAGATAGGGCCCCCTTGTCTCAGCCCTCTTCTACCTATTATATTTCCATATAGCCCTCATTCATTGAAATATAGTACTTAGCTGTTGTGATACAATTCATAGTCCATCGGATGAAATGGTATGAAAAATTCAGTGCATGCATTATCTCTTCCACAAACTCCCATTCAATAGTGTCATATGCTTTTTTCAAGTCTACTTTATCAGGCAGTTGCTGGTAGTGTGTTTTTTGTTCTACAGTCTAACCAAGTCCTGGAAAATAAGCACATTCTAGGCAATGGATCTTCCTGCTACAAATGCACTCTGATTAACAGAAATGATCTCTGGCGGCACCTTCGTCAGTCTATTGGACAACATCTTGGAAATTATCTTGTATATTGTGTCGCGGCATGCTATGGGTATATAGTCTCCCACAGTTTCAGCATGATCCTTCTTAGGAACTAGAGCGAGTACAGTTTCATTCCATACCTTCAAAGGTTTCCCAGTTTTGAAGAATTTCATCACCCTAGCTAATAGGTCATCCTTAATGATATCCCAATAGTTGATATAGCCGTCTGTACCTGGGGCTTTCTCACATTCTATCTCCCATAGGGCTGTTTCATCTCATGTTCAGTGAACTCTTCTATAAGCATCTTCCTATGCTCCCCTGAGACCACTGGGCCATCTTTCACAGTTGAGCTGCAGACTCTGGTCCTGCTAGTAGGGATGTACATAGGTTGGGTTGGTTCAGATTTTACGATTACCAAACCAAACCAATTGTGCCGGGTTATTAAATCTAAATATCAAACCAAACTAATAAAACTCGGGTTTTTCAGTCTCGAGTTCTCGGATTTTCTCGGATTTTCGGGTTATTCGAGTTTTTTTCGGTAAAATCTTCGTAGAACAAAATATATAATTTGTGCACAAAATATTTCTTTAATCCTAGTAAGATACAATTATATAAAGTATTTTCCAAGAAAATAATACAAAATATGAGATGTGTCATGGCATTATCCTAAAATATTCAACAATAAAGACAATAAAAATTATGTAATATAAATATTGCTAATTAAAAAACCATAATAAAAATAGACATAATCTAAAAGTACTAAGTCATGCTAAAGTAAGTAGACTAATAAGGGAGTTTTAATTACATTTTTATCTAAATTATTGCAAAACAAAAAATAGATATTCAATACATTCTCGTTTGTGGTATTGACTATTGAATTGGATGCCTTTTGTTAGCATAAGTATTGATTTGATTTTGGTTTGGGTTTTTTTTTAGTATTATTTAATTTACTAATATTAATGGCTATAAAACTTATTGAAACAGTCAAAAGTTCTAAGTCAAACCTTAAAATAATACATTAAAAGATAAAATTATGAAAATTTTTAAGAAATATTTATAAATTACGTCATAATAAATATATTTATATATTAAATATATCTAAAAAATTTATATATATAATGCCGGGTTGGTTTAGTTTCGGTTTGACTTTCTTTAGTTAAAACCAAACCAAATCATAGTCGGGTTTTTTTATCGGTTTGACTCGGATTATTGGGTTGGTGTGGTTTGTCGGTTTTATTTGTACATCCCTACCTGCTAGTGCCTGAAGATCCTAACAAAGATGTGTAGAACTCTACAAAACTTTGTGCTATCACTGGTAAGTCAGTACTGATCTCTCCATTGTTACTCTTGATTGTGAAAATCTTGTTGGTATTTCTTCTTGCTTTTAGAATACTATGAAAGAACTTTGTGTTCAAATCTCCATAGTTTTAGCCATTGGATCTTGCATTTCTGTCTGAAGTATTGGTCTCTAGCTAGCTTCCATTTCTGGTACTCTTCTATTAATCTCCTTTCATACTCTATTAGCTGTAGGTTCTTAAGGTCTTTATGCAATTTGCTTTGACATTCATCCAGCTCCTTCTTGACCTTTTCTGTATTGATTTCCACATCACTAAAGTTTGCTTTGTTTATTCCCTTAAGAGTGGATTTGAGTCTGTTCAACTTTCCTACCATCCCAAACATTTTTGTACTAGCTATACTTCTTTCCCAGCTAAGCTTAACTGTCTACTAAAAGTTTGGTGCCTGACTCCACATGTTGAAGTATTTAAATCTACATTGGTTTGGTTGTTGCCCAGTTTCCCAGTTTATTATTACTGGACAATGATCTATTAGTCCTTCATTTCCAAAGTGTGCTTCAGGACTTGGTAGAGTGGTAATCCAGTCACTATTGACTAGGACTCTATCAATTTTGTTGTAAGCTCTGCTGCAATCTCCATGCTTGTTATTCCATGTGTAGAATGCCCCTGATGATCTCAGATCCTTTAAAGAACAAACTTGAACACAATGCTTAAACTCTCTTATTTCTGACAGAGAGACAGGACTGCCAATTCTCTCATCTCTGTTGAGAATACAATTGAAATCTCCCAATACTACCCGTCCCTTATATTGTACCATGCATCCCCATAAGTTGTTGCCATAGTTCCCTTCTTAGAGCCTGGTCATTGAACTCATACACTGGTGTCACCTGAAACACCAGCTTAGTCCCTCTATGTATCACCTCACAATGGATCATTGGTGAGGCCATTTCTTTTATGTTAACTTCAAATATTTGTGGCTTCCAGAGTAACCAAATCTACCACCAGGGTGATGGTTAAGATTTATGGTGAAACACCATCCATTACATAGGTTAAAGGTTGCTACCTGAGCTTTATGCTTTTAACCTTTGTTTCCAGGAGTCCAAATAGACCAACTTTATAGTTGTGCATAAACAGATTCATTTCTTTTTATTTTGCCTGTCTATTCAGACCCTTGGTGTTCCAAAATTCAATTTT